AGCTCTATCTGACTCCTTTCTGTATGTCCTGTACAGGGATAGGGATCTTGTACTTGCTGTGTTGTCTCCCCAGTAAGGGGAGGGGAATTCGACTCGGCTGTACCATCCTGTACGGGGATGGGGAGCTCCTACCAGCTGTGTTGTCTCCCCAGTAAGGAGATGGGGAGCTCCTACTGGCTGTGTTGTGTCCCCAGTAAGGAGATGGGGAGCTTCTACTGGCTGTGTTGTGTCCCCAGTAAGGAGATGGGGAGCTCCTACTGGCTGTGTTGTGTCCCCAGTAAGGAGATGGGGAGCTCCTACTGGCTGTGTTGTCTCCCCAGTAAGGAGATGGGGAGCTCCTACTGGCTGTGTTGTCTCCCCAGTAAGGGGATGGGGAGCTCCTACCAGCTGTGTTGTCTCCCCAGTAAGGAGATGGGGAGCTCCTACTGGCTGTGTTGTGTCCCCAGTAAGGGGATGGGGAGCTCCTACCGGCTGTGTTGTCTCCCCGGTAAGGGGATGGGGAGCTCCTACCGGCTGTGTTGTCTCCCCAGTAAGGAGATGGGGAGCTCCTACCGGCTGTGTTGTCTCCCCAGTAAGGGGATGGGGAGCTCCTACCGGCTGTGTTGTCTCCCCAGTAAGGAGATGGGGAGCTCCTACCGGCTGTGTTGTCTCCCAGTAAGGGGATGGGGAGCTCCTACTGGCTGTGTTGTGTTGTCCTCCTGGCTGTGTTGTCTCCCAAGGAGATGGGGAGCTCCTACTGGCTGTGTTGTCTCCCCAGTAAGGGGATGGGGAGCTCCTACTGGCTGTGTTGTCTCCCCAGTAAGGAGATGGGGAGCTCCTACTGGCTGTGTTGTCTCCCCAGTAAGGGGATGGGGAGCTCCTACTGGCTGTGTTGTCTCCCCAGTAAGGGGATGGGGAGCTCCTACTGGCTGTGTTGTGTCCCAGTAAGGAGATGGGGAGCTCCTACTGGCTGTGTTGTCTCCCAGTAAGGAGATGGGGAGCTCCTACTGGCTGTGTTGTCTCCCCAGTAAGGGGATGGGGAGCTCCTACTGGCTGTGTTGTCTCCCCAGTAAGGGGATGGGGAGCTCCTACTGGCTGTGTTGTCTCCCCAGTAAGGGGATGGGGAGCTCCTACTGGCTGTGTTGTCTCCCAGTAGGGGATGGGGAGCTCCTACTGGCTGTGTTGTCTCCCCAGTAAGGAGATGGGGAGCTCCTACTGGCTGTGTTGTCTCCCCAGTAAGGGGATGGGGAGCTCCTACTGGCTGTGTTGTGTCCCCAGGAAGGGGATGGGGAGCTCCTACTGGCTGTGTTGTGTCCCCAGGAAGGGGATGGGGAGCTCCTACTGGCTGTGTTGTCTCCCCAGTAAGGGGATGGGGAGCTCCTACTGGCTGTGTTGTCTCCCCAGTAAGGGGATGGGGAGCTCCTACTGGCTGTGTTGTGTCCCCAGGAAGGGGAGGGGAACTCGACTTGGCTGTAATGTGTGGCTGTACTCAGTGGTGATAGTTCTGCATGGCTGCCACTACTGGAAGCTGCAGACTCAGTCAAGCATCTTCCTTGTCACTGCCAGTTGTCACTGCTGCCTCTGCAGGGGTGAAGGCATGTCGGTAGTTTTCAGCACTACTTGGAGACACACTTTTATCAAAACAACATGGGCGCTGGAGGAAATATGATGCTTTTTGTCACTACACAGTCCCTATTCACATCATTTATTCACTGAAAGGTAAGACAGACATTATCGAAAAGCCTGGCAGTTGTGTTCAGAACTGCGTTTTAGGGAGGATAGTCAGTCTGTCATCTGCTCAAGTTATTGAAGAATTATATTCACAACTGAGTATTTCACAATGAAAACCATCCCTGATGCCAATGGAACAAATGTGAATGGTGCTAATGGCAATGTCAATGGAGAGGCTAAGACAAATGGGAAGGTAAGGGGATGACATGGCATTGTACACCTGTTGGAAACTACTGTGTCTGTAACAGTGGAGACCAGTGTTCACTCAACGTTCCTACATCACACGTATGTGCTCAGCCACTAATCCGTAATGTTTCATGTCGATCAGTGCTGTTCTGTGTGTGTCACTGGAAAGTACTGTTGCTGAAATAGGTAATGATGATTTCAGACTTTGTCCCTGACATGATTTAGCGAAGACTCCCCTTGTTCCCCTTGCAGTACCCTTGGAATAGCTTGATGGCCTTGATTCTTCTGAATAATGAAGTTTGTAGACTGGCTTGTAATTTGTTGGCTAGATCGTTGTGTGACAGGTTGACATTAAGCTGGGTTTCTTGAAAGGCTTGTACATGATCATGCCAAATTGTTCCAATTTTTCTGGTCACACAGAAAAAACAAAAATACTAGTCGAGTACAGTCAAACCTAGGGACTGTGCCTCTGTCCAGAATCATTCAGTGATGATGGGTGTAACGGGTCATTTTCAAAATTGGTAGGATTTTCTGTCCGTTACAAATTTTAAAAAAATCTGTGAGTTTAAAAGAATTTTATGTTCTACAAAACATATTTAGATGTTTACTTGTCAGTAAATGAGGTATATCATTAGTCTTGTCTTTTTTAAATTTATACTTAACCACATTTTTGGGTCAAACTTGGCAGATTTGCTCCGTCCGGAGGTGACGGTCCTAATATCAATGTTCACAAATAATGTAAATATAAATGCAAATAAACAAATTAATTCATATTATGCCAATTAGGATTGATCAAGCATACTCAGAATGCATTTATTTATTTTTTAACTTAAAAAGGTTTCCTTCTACAAACTGTAACATGCTTGTCCTGTGATTCTGTGTCCTGACCGTTACCAGTGTATGAAATTCCTGCAATAATATCTCCCTGGAGCTGGATTGTAATACTACTTCCTGTGTCTGTTTGAGCTAGCCCCTGTGGATGTGACAGCAGATGAAATAAAGAGATTCAATACATTTTGAAGAAAATTGACACCGTCAAATAAGTATAAATGTTATGTGTCAACCTTAATTGTCCAGACCGTTACCAATGTATTTTGTGTCAAATATGTATCTCCTTTTTTTAAAATTTCAATGGATATGGTGCCCAGAAATGGAAGAGGTGGAAGGCATGTCCTTTGACATTTTTTAGGAATCATTCATTTTTTTATTTAAGATTTACTTACAAATTGTCTTGACTGTTACTGTCCAAACCGTTACCATTCTGCAAAGTAACGGTTTGGACAGTCCTTGTAATGGTCAGGACAAAATGATTTGCATTTCAAAAAGTTATTCATTAATATTTGAAGTAGAACAACTATATAATTTCTTTAAGAGTTAAGATAGTTTAAGCGTGGACTTGTACTGTTCAAAGGAGTTTTGATGTAGTAGCATAAAAAACACAGTCTCTAGTAACGGTTTGGACAAATAATAGTAACGGTCGGGACATTTCTTTAATAAATTTCAATTTTGAAGAATATGTTCTATGGTGTGATAATAAATTTCTATTTACTTATCTATCTGCTTTTAATAATAAAAACCAAAACGAATTTATCACGTTAAGTTTCTATTTTCTATAAGATGTATAGTCTTTATGAATTAAAGGTAACGGTTAGGACAAAATGTAGTAACGGTAAACAACTATATTGTATTCCAACCTTTAAAGATGTTTTTGGTGTAGTCTGTTTTGACTTTTTGAGATATGTAAGACTACCTTTTACTTAGAATATTGATAGGTGCTAATATGTTGGCCTTTGTATTTGATAAATATGTGTTACCATCTCACCATCAACAAAAGTTAAAGGTATCCAAGTGAATGAAAGAAGTATTTTTCGTTGAGACTAATATTGCACAATAATATCAACAGCAAAATGACATCTATGCTGTGGCCTTTGTAGCATGACCATGTGTACAGTATCATTGTTGTTGCAGTACCTTTCAGAATTTAATCTTTTACAACTTTTTAGAGGGATAACATTTGTTTGTTACACTGATGTCCTGACCGTTACCAATAATGTAACAACTGTTACTATTCATTCAATTTTCGTTCCCAATTGCACTCTTCTTTAGATTATAAGTGATTTTCAATCTAGACAGGTGTGTTTTTCTATTCTTTAGAAGCTACAGTTTGTTTTTATTCAAAAGCCAAAATTCATTCACAAGTTTTATATTGATATAACAAATGTCCAAACCGTTACCACAGCATGGAAGAAAACATGTCATATTAGTTACGAGTTACAATTCTATTACACATTTCACTGTCTGTCCAAAATAGGGCTAGCAGTTCAAGTAAATGATATCATTTCTTTCCTTTCATGTTACCTGTGTCTATGTTGAATTAAATTGTTTAAGGCTTATGTCCAGCCCGTTACCATTCCTGTCCAAACGTTACCACTATTGTCCTAACCGTTACTGGTGTTAATTGACCGCTGTAATTAATTCATGATAATACATGACACACTCCTCTTTATGTTGGTGTCATCAAAAGATGTCCTGGGCTTAGTAGCTGATGTTTACTTTAGACAATTTTACCTGTTGAAAACTATATACATAATAATGTTTCAGAAAAATGCTATCATTTTGTGGTAAATAAATGAAAGATACAAAATAACACTTTCAAGATTCATGATGATAGTTTTTATCTTCAACTTTGCTTAAGTCTGTGTAAAAGCTGTGTCTGCCATCTTTAAAAGATTTTTATGAATTATATTTCAAAATCCATATTCTGACTAAAAAGTGGTAACGGTCAGGACAGTCCCCCACCCTTTTAATTACTTATGTATCAATTAAAAGGTCAATTAGAGCATTTCAGTCTGCATGTTTGTATTTTTTAATAATTAAGTGTTTGAGGTTTTATTTGAATAAAAATTAAATCAATTTTGAGGAGTTTGATTTTACTGTAATAAAGAATTGAAAATCCTACCAATTTTGAAAATGACCCGTTACACAACACTATTATACCAGCTTGTGTTTTGTGTTGACTTATTTTCTTTGCAATACTGTTAAGGTGACATTAAGCTTCCAGTAGTGTATGGCAACATTTTCATGTAGTGTTTTTGTGGTCTTACCTCAGAAGCTGTTACACTACGGAAGGTCTCTCTAGCTGTTAGGGGACTGTAGCAGTTTCACATTAACTCAGGGCAGCCTGTTGAACCTGCGTGAACCATTAGCAAAGCTTGATAAACATATATAATATTTGATGAACATAAAGAATTTTCTGGATTTCATCTTCTTTTTATTCTCAGTAGTGCAGTAGAATAAAAGATGAAATCAAGAAAATTCTTTATGTTCATCATATAGCATCTTCCAAAATGCCAATCAAGCATCTATATAATCGTTACTGTATTTAGACTTTCTCACTTGAATGCCTGCCAAGAAATATACAGTATCTCAGAAAAGCTTAGGCAGAAAATACCTTGACTGGAGAAAATGATAGTCCCATAAGAGTTCTCTCCCTTAGACCATGAATTGAATGAAAGCAAGCACAACTGACGTCTGCTGCCCTTAGCAGTAACAGTGAGGGTTCTCTAGCGGCGTTGATAAGTTTTGTATAATATGTTGGTAGTTTTGATTTGTGATGAATTTGAAACTCACACTTTGATGCTGCAGAATAAATCTCTCTAACAATCAGCTGTGGTCAGCTCTGTCAAGCCGCATCATCTGTTCCACTGTAACCACTAGCTGTAGTTGCGCATTGTTTTCTGTAATGGAGATATGTGGATGTTGACTTGTGTCCCAGAGACACTCATCAGCACTAGTTACAGTCTACTAAAAGTCACCCTAACGATAAACGTTATATCCACTTGCACAAACATATCTTAGCATGAGTGTAGGATGACGGGATGTCGGATCACAGTCTTAGCAAAAGTGGTAGAGATACAGTCATCTGAAACTTGATATGTCTATAAAAGCTCAGGACTGGCTGTGTATGCAAACAGTGGAATAAATTGTGATACCTGCCCAGTCACACTTAAAAATTTGAAAAATTGGTCCAAATAAATTGAAAAACATTTCTTTCCTTTTTCCCATAAGTTACCATAAACAAGCCCATTTAATTTGAAAAGGAGCCCCAAGGAGACCAGAGAACCGGAAGCTGAGGAAATCTAGACTAGCTTTATAAGGAAAATAATGTGGTTGAGGGACTGTGAGACAGACTACATATCTGCCTTCACACACTTATCAGTAGTTATGCTGGTCAATATCAGGACTATACTTCTGCTGTTAAATCCAGAGTCTTTCTTTTGTATGTTGTGTGTGGTATAACAGTGAAATGTCGATATTTGAAAGTAAAGCTGTTTCACACCATTTGCCATGTTTATGGACTACTGTGATCTTAACTAAGTAAGACTACTGCAAGTTCCTTTGTAGCATACACTGAAATTACCATGCAATTATTGCTTTACGATAAATTAAGTGATAAGTTTATTGGTCAAGCATAGGTTAAAATATTTTTCTTTGATGCATTTTACTAAAGATTTATATTTCAATTTCAGGAAATTAAATACAACTTAACGCCGAACAGGCCACGCATCCACAGCCGCTCTGTGTCCCAGTCATCAACAGATAGCTACAGCTCAGGTGAGCCGCTGGTCTAATACATGAACCATGCCCAGGTGAACAGCTGGTCTAATACATGAACCATGCCCAGGTGAACAGCTGGTCTAATACATGAACCATGCCCAGGTGAACAGCTGGTCTAATACATGTACCATGCCCAGGTTAGCCGCTTGTCTAATACATGTACCATGCCCAGGTGAGCTGCTGGTCTAATACATGTACCATGCTGAAGTAGCAGCTGGACTAATACATGTACCATGGTCAGGTGAGCAGCTGGTCTAATACATGTACCATGCTGAAGTAGCAGCTGGTCTAATACATGTACCATGCTCAGGTAAGCAGCTGGTCTAATACATGTACCATGCTGAAGTAGCAGCTGGTCTAATACATGAACCATGCTGAAGTAGCAGCTGGTCTAATACATGTACCATGCTCAGGTAAGCAGCTGGTCTAATACATGTACCATGCTGAAGTAGCAGCTGGTCTAATACATCTACCGTGCTGAAGTAGCAGCTGGTTTAATACATGTACCAAGCAACTATCTGCTAACCATGAGAAGTGGCTTGCAGCTGGTCAAGATGTTATGACCAAGCGATGTTTGGGTGTAGTTGAGGATGAATCTAACAAGGTGATGTTTGGTTATTTGGATCTCACCAGGCGAAATGTGCATATAGTTGGGGGCAGGATGTCATCAGGTGATGTGTGGGTATAGTTGGGGGCAGGATGTCATCAGGTGATGTGTGGGTATAGTTGGGGACAGGATGTCATCAGGTGATGTGTGGGTATAGTTGGGGACAGGATGTCATCAGGTGATGTGTGGGTATAGTTGGGGGCAGGATGTCATCAGGTGATGTGTGGGTATAGTTGGGGACAGGATGTCATCAGGTGATGTGTGGGTATAGTTGGGGACAGGATGTCATCAGGTGATGTGTGGGTATAGTTGGGGGCAGGATGTCATCAGGTGATGTGTGGGTATAGTTGGGGACAGGATGTCATCAGGTGATGTGTGGGTATAGTTGGGGGCAGGATGTCATCAGGTGATGTGTGGGTATAGTTGGGGGCAGGATGTCATCAGGTGATGTGTGGGTATAGTTGGGGGCAGGATGTCATCAGGTGATGTGTGGGTATAGTTGGGGACAGGATGTCATCAGGTGATGTGTGGGTATAGTTGGGGACAGGATGTCATCAGGTGATGTGTGGGTATAGATGGGGGCAGGATGTCATCAGGTGATGTGTGGGTATAGTTGGGGACAGGATGCCATCAGGTGATGTGTGGGTATAGATGGGGGCAGGATGTCATCAGGTGATGTGTGGGTATAGTTGGGGACAGGATGTCATCAGGTGATGTGTGGGTATAGTTGGGGGCAGGATGTCATCAGGTGATGTGTGGGTATAGTTGGGGGCAGGATGTCATCAGGTGATGTGTTGGTATAGATGGGGGCAGGATGTCATCAGGTGATGTGTGGGTATAGTTGGGGGCAGGATGTCATCAGGTGATGTATGGGTATAGTTGGGGACAGGATGTCATCAGGTGATGTGTGGGTATAGTTGGGGGCAGGATGTCATCAGGTGATGTGTGGGTATAGTTGGGGGCAGGATGTCATCAGGTGATGTGTGGATATAGTTGGGGGGAGGATGTCATCAGGTGATGTGTGGGTATGGTTGGGGGCAGGATGTCATCAGGTGATGTGTGGGTATAGATGGGGGCAGGATGTCATCAGGTGATGTGTGGGTATAGTTGGGGGCAGGATGCCATCAGGTGATGTGTGGATGTAGATGGGGGCAGGATGTCATCAGGTGATGTGTGGGTATAGTTGGGGGCAGGATGTCATCAGGTGATGTGTGGGTGTAGATGGGGGCAGGATGTCATCAGGTGATGTGTGGGTATAGTTGGGGGCAGGATGTCATCAGGTGATGTGTGGGTATAGTTGGGGGCAGGATGTCATCAGGTGATGTGTGGGTATAGTTGGGGACAGGATGTCATCAGGTGATGTATGGGTATAGTTGGGGGCAGGATGTCATCAGGTGATGTGTGGGTATAGTTGGGGACAGGATGTCATCAGGTGATGTATGGGTATAGTTGGGGGCAGGATGTCATCAGGTGATGTGTGGGTATAGTTGGGGGCAGGATGTCATCAGGTGATGTGTGGGTATAGTTGGGGGCAGGATGTCATCAGGTGATGTGTGGGTGTAGTGGGGGTGCAGGCTCTACAGCTTGTAGATGAAGAAGATAGCATTTTAAAAAAGCATTCATCTTCAAACCGGGAGATCAGTTATTCTTATGCATTAATCTAACTTGAACCTGTTGGGACATTTTATGGATGCTTGTACAAGGGAGGTAACTTCAGCAGTTGGAAGATCGCATAATAACAGATTTGAATGATTACCATTTTGTGATATTCATTAATACTTCTGACAACATCTGTTACTGTTATGTAGGGCCTAGATACAAATATTCACCAGAAGCTAACTGGTGAAATGTAGACATTGCTGATAAAAGGAATATGTATGAACCAAGGAATTTGTTGATCAAAGGGATGTAACTCTTGAAGACTTATTGCTTTCCCTGTCAGACTTGCTGGCACATAAGGAAATATCTATTTGATTTTGATTTATTACCCAAGAGATATATGCACATAGATTTTAGAAGTGAAAGCCTGTGCTCAGTGTCTTGTGCCATGGACATGCAGTGTACGTAAATATGTGAGTATACCCATGCATATTTATATTTTTGGACTTATCTCATTTTGTGTATAAATCATAGACATTTGACCCATTTTATGTTTTCAGTTACTTTGTAGTTACTGTCATTGTTTCTTTTCTTTATAAGGCATCATTATGAACTTGATTACATTATGACTGCTTGTCAAGAACGCATGACGTATGGCTGGAGATGTCAGTGGGGTGTTGTATGTGGCGTTGATGTGGGTGAGCCAGTAGTAGTCTTGTTGTTCCAGGAGGGCGGGGCGGCAGAGGGCGAGGAGGGCGTGGGGGGCAACTCGAGCCCATCACTGACTCTGATTCAGGTTGTATATGTCTGCTCCCTGCTCCGCCTGTATCTGCCTATCACTACCTTACTGTGGTACTTGTAGTTCTGGCTGTTCTGCTCATGTAGTATCTGTTTTCTTGAGATGAGCCAATTCCCCTATTGTTTGTGTGGTCGAAGCTTACTGTTTGCATGGTATTCACATTGTGCTGAACCATGGAACTTCTCAACAGTTAACCCCCATAAAACTAGAGCTGAGTGTCGTGACCCCAGTCTCATAAGACGCTTGTCCAAGACACTAGTCACACAGCTGATCACGACCCAAGTCTAATGATAATGCTGAAGTAAGGGACTGGGCCATGGCAGGTGGGAGACAATAACCCTGACACGTGAGAGACAGTACCCTGACATGTGGGAGACAGTATCCTGACATGTGGGAGACAGTACCCTGACATGTGGAAGACAGTACCCTGACATGTGGAAGACAGTACCCTGACAGGTGAGCAACAATACCCTGACACGTGGGAGACAGTACCCTGACAGGTGGGAGACAATACCCTGACACGTGGGAGACAATACCCTGACATGTGAGCAACAATACCCTGACACGTGGGAGACAATACCCTGACACGTGAGCAACAATACCCTGACACGTGGGAGACAATACACTGACACGTGGGAGACAGTACCCTGACAGGTGGGAGACAATACCCTGACACATGAGCAACAATACCCTGACACGTGAGCAACAATACCCTGACACATGAGCAACAATACCCTGACATGTGGGAGACAATACCCTGACACGTGGGAGACAGTACCCTGACATGTGGGAGACAATACCCTGACACATGAGCAACAATACCCTGACATATGGTAGACAATACCATGACACGTGAGCAACAACACCCTGACACGTGGGAGACAATACCCTGACACACGAGCAACAATACCCTGAAATGTGGGAGACAGTACCCTGACATATGGTAGACAATACCCTGACATGTGGGAGACAGTACCCTGACATATGGTAGACAATACCCTCACAGGTGGGAGACAATACCCTGACAGGTGGGAGACAATACCCTGACATGTGAGCAACAGTACCCTGACATATGGTAGACAATACCCTGACACGTGAGCAACAATACCCTGACACGTGGGAGACAATACCCTGACACATGAGCAACAATACCCTGACAGGTGGGAGACAGTACCCTGACACGTGGTAGACAATACCCTGACAGGTGGGAGACAATACCCTGACACATGAGCAACAATACCCTGACAGGTGGGAGACAGTACCCTGACATATGGTAGACAATACCCTGACACATGAGCAACAATACCCTGACATGTGGGAGACAGTACCCTGACATATGGTAGACAATACCCTGACATGTGGGAGACAATACCCTAACACATGGGAGACAATACCCTGACATGTGGTAGACAATACCCTGACACATGGGAGACAATACCCTGACACATGAGCAACAATACCCTGACATGTGGTAGACAATACCCTGACACATGAACAACAATACCCTGACACATGAACAACAATACCCTGACATGTGGGAGACAGTACCCTGACACTTGGGAGACGGTACCCTTATACCTAATCAGTTGGGGTTTTTTCTGTCTGTGCTCATGTGTTGTTTCTCAAGTTCTTTTTTTTTAATGGACACAAACACTACTTTTTGTACTACTTTGCACTAAAATCACACAAATGTCTTTTTTTTGCCTTTATAAACAGTGTTAAACTGAAGTTCCTATTAATATCCCACAAATCTATACTACTATAGTCCACTATAGTTCATCCATTGCAGCTTTTGTTGATAGTCACTAGCTTTTTTATCATTTATAAGATTGGACTGATACTGCAGACACCAGAAGCTTCGCACCTAACTAGTAACACTTATATTTACACACCATGTGTTCATTCATTATGTTGTAGTATCCACAAGCCCAAAGTTATCAAATAACTGGAACCTATTATATTTGGATTGGTCAACCAAAAATGGATATAGGCAGATCACTGATAAACACTAAGTATATGCAATAAAGTCATGAAGAAAAATGCCCTCTATTATGACAAATCTTCCGTGACCTGTTCAAACCCTGGGTGGTAAAGCTGAACTGATGGGGTCAGGAACAGGCCAGCTCAGGATGACCTGATGTAATGACTTACCAGCTTGGTGTTGGTAGCACAGACTTGTTTGTGCATGTTGCATGGGGCTGATTATTACATTTTAGGCGATGTTTGACAAGCTTTTTTGACTTCATTGAATTTTTTGCTTGTTTGGTTTTTATTAATTTTTCGTTGTCTCATATTTATAGTAAAAGTTCAAACTTTTTTTCAGTTTTCATTTAGAAAAATAAGATATGGCAAATGCAGTTATTCTTGTCATCATTCATATTCTATTGTCAGGTTTAACACAGCCAACAGGGTTCTTGTATACAGATATTGCCTGAATCACTCCGAAACATGGCACAGTAAAGAACGTAACAGTGTGGTAGATAGGATGAGTAGTAGGTGTACACAGTTTGTTCAAACAGGAGCATGTTTACTTCCAATGTAATAAAACAGGTGTCTAGTGAGCTGGTATCTACGTGTTAGACACTGCACTGCTTTATGTTCTGCTGAATGTCATTGAGCTTAAGATATCAGTGTATGTATTGAATAATAAATGATCCGATTAGACTGTATTAAGAATAGACATGGTTACTAACAGAGTAGGAAAAAGACAGTATAACATTTCAAGACTGATCAGTTCTGTAACACGACTGTGCATACTTTGTTTAAATGTGCCACTATGTCATATTTTTATGAAAGAATTATTTCAGTGCAGGTTTTCTTTTCTGACCCTGATTTATGTCCGTCCAGTATGTCCAGAGTGAGTGACCATCTAGTTGTATGTAAATGAGAAAGGACCTTGGATCACCCTGGCCTCCTCCACCCTATCCTGTCTTCCGGACCATTAGTTGGTACATTGATAGGTAATCCTTCGACCATAGCTTCAGCAGTTCCATCACAAGAACATAGTGTCCAGCAAGCCCATCTCAGTGGTAATTAGCAGATTACTGGTGAAGTCTGTAGAGGCTAGAGCACATTGTGCATGTTTATGTAGGATGCTGAATATATACAGTAACAGTGTAGGAAGTGATGAAGGTCAATAATGCAGTATATATCTGTAATGGCTGTAGATGCAGTTTGTTTATCTATTTTGCATGGTGAATAACAAATACATTTTTAAGTGCAGCTTGTTATGGATTTTCATAACTATCATCTGAAGTAGCCTGACAGATTTCAAGTTCCAAAAAGAAGTCACTATTTTGTCGGATGTTTGTAAAATATTTTGAGTATATGTTTCAAATATTGGGTTTTGTGGTCTGTTTTGTTAGTAGACTTTTACTTTGTGTTAGTTAACAGGAGTATAGACCTTCCTAGACCGAGGGCTGGGCTGCATGAATGTCAAATCTTTTTGATATCACTAGTAACCTCAAAGGTTGCTCTACACAGAATCGTTTAGTTTGGGTGACTCCAAGTTTAGGCTGAGAGCCTTACAACTACCAGCAATAGTATGGACTGTTGGTAATGTTCATCAGAAACAGAGTTGACATGAGCGTATTTTTCTTCAAATTGCCCTATGGCGTCGTCTTTTGTAGTTTACTTACACTCATAATATCATCATTACAGGAGAAAGGTCTTGAACTACTTCATTAAGTCAGTTCCATTTACATCAAGCACAAGATGTCAAAATGTCTGACAGGATAGGTTTGATGAGAGAGATTTCCAAATTTGTTAATGAAAGGGTGGTGATTACAAGTGTTGGTCATCATTGATCAGTGGGTCGATCACTGAAAGGTGATTATCAAGATGCATCAAATAGATAATGAAGTATATTCAGAGATTGCTGTAGAATGTCACTTGTAGTCTAGGCATGGGTTGAGTCAATAGTCTAGATGTGCTGTTAGTTCTTTTGTTCACTAGGTGGGTGATAACGGAATATTTGTGAATGTCGTCATGCACTCTTACCCCCAATGTATTCTAAAACGCTAAGTTCAAGGTCATATGTCTAAATTCTGTCCAAGGAATGTGGAAGTACCCTGTCATTTATGACATTAATGTGAAAATATTATTTAAGGCAAAATGTGTTGTTCAGTAATTCATGACCATCAGGTTCACAGTCATGTCACTTACCGCTCTGCCAGTAGAAACAACATACATGAATATATCACACACATATTATATATCATATATAATGTAAACGTAACATTAAAAAAACATTATTATCATACAACAATTTTTCAACTGAAAGCAATTACTCTGAATTGACATTATAATTTTGTCCAGTCCAATGTCAAATCACTAAATCCTGTGATTGTTTGAAGATGAAGACATTATTTGATTGGCTCATCTCATTGTGACATCATCATATTGTGTGTTGCTACATTCTAACACATGGTTCTTTCTCTAACTCTGACCACCTCCCCACCCACTAAGCAACTGCCTAACCAGACCCTCCTGGAGACACCCTAATATGGAGATGCCCTAATGTCTGCAAGCAGTAGAGGCTGTTTCACATATTTACACTGAAATATATTCAGTTCATTTCAGATAATGTTTGCTGTGATTATGTTTCTGTTGTGATTTGATATAAGCACTGAGTATCTGCCAGCCATGTAGCTGGAATACTGCCATATAGCGTTAAAACAGCAAACAATACTGAGTATCTGCAGTTATATTTGATGTTGTAACCCATTAAAATGAGTGTTTATATAATTCTGCTTTGTTTGTTTTCTGCATAGATGTTTTGCACATTGATCACAGATCAAGGTGTTTCTTTATGAACACACGGGAAATGTGTTTTAAGTGCATCCAGTGACTCAGAGAAAGTCAACACCAAGCCAGACCTGGGGAGAGTCATGTGTATTCATACTTTATTCAACATTTGAGATGACGTTTTTTTTCTTATGCTAACATATTTCCAAATATTGATCACTAACAAAGTACACATGGCAAGTACATGTTTTTGTTACATAGTTTGCCTAAACACTGACAGATGTGGCAACAACTAGGCTAGAGCAAGAGCTGGATGTGAATGAAGGGTGGAAACTAGTGGCCATGAGAGCTTATATGTTTTATATGTCACAAGCCTATTGTTTTCATCCAGCCTGAGGGATGAGTTCTGTGTTCACAGACTGTGACTATTGTGGACCAGGTTTCCTATCAGTATTTAGTCCACAGTCATTGATTGTTCACATTTGCAGTAGGTTGGCTGACTTGTTAACAGTGAATACATGGAGATTTAATGGTTGGTCTGGACACATTCATGTGACAACAAGCTGCCAACAGGAACTCAGCTTATTTGTCAACTGTTGTTTGTCGGATCAGTGGGAATTAGTTTTTATAATAGCTACATTTTATCACCTCAAAATTGTCCCGAAGATACATGACTTACAAAGTGCCGCTCATATACATACAGTCATATTATGTGTTTACTTAGGACACAGTGATTGTCAAGGTGAAGTCAGTTTGTTGTGTTTACAGTAACTCTCTCTAACTCAGGCCAATAACAGGGCATGAATTATTGATTAGTTAATCAAAGTTTTCCTGTAGTTTTTCCTCTAATAGAGAGCAGTCTATGGCTCCTGTGTCGTCAGTGTGAGAAAGATGTCTTTCCGTGACAGCCCTTCAGCTGGGCACATCTCCAGCAATCAATGACAGGTCTGGCTGACAACTGTCGTCTGTAGTTATGACAGCCGTCCCACTCTTCCCCAGGGCCAGCACATACAATCGCCCAGCTTCTCCTCACATGGCAGAAACTGTTTGGGAATTACTAGGGGTTCGCAGCGATCATGCTGTCAGTCTTTCTAAGGCCTGCTGTGGTTGTGAGGTATTCGTTCAAATACATGCTGTCAACTCATATGTCAGTCTGTAGTCATTTGTATTTTTTGTTGGGTTGTTCTTTTTCCATTTTAAAAATGTTGATTTGGTTACATCACGTAAAGTTTACCTGCTGAGTTAAAGGTGACCCTGGAAAATGTAAACATGCAGTATGTATTAGTGAGAATGAACGACTCACCTTGATGGCCAGCGCCCCAGGTAGCAGGGAGGAGACAAGGAGAGGGGGTGACACTGGAACCCCCAGTATCAGCTGATCACTGCCCTGGGCCTCCACTCTTCCTTCTTCCTCCCTCCTTCCCCTGCCTCCCACACAGCACACTGGTGTAGTGAAGATCCTGGTTGGATGGGCAATCTCAACACTACCTATACTCTGTTTCCCATTTCCAGCTGGAGGAATCCCTCCCACACTGATTCCTCAGTGCCAAGTAATACCTGCATGCACCATGTCTCCCATCTGTCTACTCACCAACCTGTTCAACCATCTTACCTTTATTGATCAAACCTTAAGTGTAGTTCACTCAAGTATAGGGCTTTAATCTTGATTGATTTGGAGAGATGATCCTATTTTCTGCTCTTGGTATGGTGACTGAAGTGTTTATACCTTGTTGTTCCCTCAGGGCTAGCAACAAGATCTAGGACCTTGTATGTCAACTGAGGGTGTATCTGTTTGGATATGGTTCTTGGCAAATCCTGTCTTGTAAGATCAGGTCAATCAGTTTCTGTTTTCTGTGGTAAATCATGGAGACCTAGTTGATTTAATTCTAGTCATCCACATTCCTACAGCCCTTTCTGTCCATACAACTTGCAGAAGTATTGTTATGTCCTATTCACAAACCACCAGACACATGTTAAGTAGAATTTTTAGATCACATTCAAGGCCTTTTTGATCTTCTCCTTTTGTTTTGAATTTAAAGTGAATATTTTGCAAACAGCCTTTCCGTGATAAATGTGGAATATTTGTTTTAGGATGACTCTTGAATGATCTTTATGATCCAGTGCTAGAAAATATTTTATATTTTCAACTGTCCACAAAAGTCATCACTTACAGAATTGCCTTTTACCTACTGATAAAAGTAGTAGTCCAGAAAGATATGGATGTTTCCACACTCTAGTGTTCCTCTCTAGGTAATATGGATAATGCATTGTGGTGTGCAAGGTCACGCTGTCCCAGAATGGTGGCATTACAAACAATACCAAGGGCACATGGGACATATAATGATGTTTCATAGACTTCAACATAATTAGTTTCATGTACCAGTTTTACATATTTTCAAATAGTTTATCATTGTCAAAATATATAGCTTGTAAATTAGCAAAATGTTCTGTTTCGATAAAGAACTGCTCATTACAACCGGAGAATATAATAACGTACCATTTTTTTCATTTTACAGCTTTAGAGTAATAATTGATATAAAAGCTGTGTTGTATTATAGACACTTAGCACTATTAGGGATAAAAGATGAGGTTTATGTTAAAACATTTTGTTGTCATGTGGGGTAGGTGTTGGACATTTTCATACTGCTGTTTGAAATTACATTCTCTGGATAATCTTGCAGTAATGCATTTTCTTTAAATTTTGTTACATGACTTTTTGTCATACTGTCACCAGAAACAAGAGTACATACTCTCCTGGCCAGACTATAGAAATGATTTCTCTTAAGTAACCGTGACGACATCAGTGAAAGTCTGGGATTCTGTCTTGCTGATAAAGCTCAGTCACTAAAATTCCATCCATTCTAATGCAGACCTACCATACAAACAGTGAACAAATCCTCAAAACTGAACAAACTCACATGCACCAAAACAGAACAAAAAATCACCAGAACAGGAAAATATACTTTTTCCAAACTGCAACAATTTCCTCTGAAAATGAAACAACGCATCTGAAATGGAAAACTAATCGCTTGAAATGGAAACAAAACTCGCAGTCATGGGACCAGATTGTGCAGAATTGCAAACCTGACACTGAGCAGTATGAACATAGGTTTGAAGCTTACTGCAATGGGGGTTGGGGGGGTGGGTTGCGCTACATTCCGATATCAAACTTTCAAGATTAGACTCATAGTGACGATAAACATTACTTACCAAAGCCTGTTCGTCTTCCCACGCCAGCATGTTTGACGATTTTTATGCCATTTCGGAATGCTATTACTGCCATTTTGTACCCTTGGCAACCCTTCTCGGCCGCTCTTGTAGCTGATACATGAGTTTTGTTTCTATTTCAAACAATTAGTTTTTTTCATTACATGTGTGTTTGTTTCATTTTCAGAGGAAATTGTTGCAGTTTTGGATGTTTATTTTCCTATTTTTGTGATTTTTGTTCTGTTTTGGTGTATTTGAGTTCAGTTTTGAGGATTTGTTCACCGTTCGTATGGTAGGCCTGTAATGATGACTGTTTTATTTTAAGGAAACTGAGGTTTGTTGAACTTTTTTCCATAGAAACATTCATGTATGGATGTAAAGAGTCATGGACATGGTGTATTGCTCATGTACATGTTGTGTATATGTGTGTTTGTTTGTTTGTCTGTGTGTGTGTGTGTGTGTGTGTGTGTGTGTGTGTGTGTGTGTGTGTGTGTGTGTGTGTGTGTGTGTGTGTGTGTGTGTGTGTGTGTGTGTGTGTGTGTGTGTGAGAAAGAGAGAGTATTTAACTATGAATAGTTGTCAGCTCATTTTCCCAAGGTGTCAGTATCATTACCAAGATTTACTACAACCTTTTGGGCTGTAGTTTATTGTGCAGAAGATAAATGGTACAGATAAGAGGAGTCTCTAATCCTGCAATACTTGCTATCTTCACTGAAGGAAACGTTTTATCACTCATGGACATAGCAAACTTTAGCTTTACCAAGTCTGATTTACATAAAGAGATACTGGTCCTCTACAGAGGTGATTATCAACATTAGACTTCGGTAAAAAGATTGGACCCAAAAGCCATCATCCCATGAGTAACTACATGTATAAGGTTAAAATTAAGTTTGCCTTTGTTAAAGGTACAGCCACTTCAAAAGGAATCTTTGTTCACTCAACTCAGTGTGTTCAGCTTTGTGCTAAGGTTGTTGGCTTCGTGATATCATCAGCTGGATATATCACGGAATAGTTGATGGCATGGGATTCCGCTGCCGATTATTATGAGAAGAGTCGCATTATCAGATAAAATTCAAGTGAATTTTTGTCATGATCTGTTGTCTGTTGCCCACCAGTCATAATCTTTAACACTGTCAACATCACTGAAACAATAATGCTTCTGTATTGATGGTTTTGGCAATTATGTCTCTGAACATTGCTTTCTGAAGAACTCTTATCTGATTTTAGACTTGGTTAAATTGTTGGCCATGTTGAAGCCTTTTCCCAGTTACTCAGCCATTTCTGTTTGTCGTGTTGTAAGGTTTGACATGCATTGAGTATGTGGTATGTTTCAAAACCTGTTGCACTTTGTTTGGTCACAAGTTGACATAACCTTTATCTTTGACCTTTCATCATTGTGGCTGCTATGTGAAACATTGGCATTGTGCATATTCCTCCACCCAGCAGTCATTGAATTATCAAGGGGAAATTTTATGTAATTAGGATGCCTGTTAAGTATAAAGGTCAGGGTTTTTTTCAACATTTCTGTTTACCCAGTCCATGTAATATGACCTTTCGGATGTAATGTTGCAAATATTCCCCAACGATTTAGGTGATCAATCTGTATAACCTGATGTCATGGGAGTGTTTTGTTGTTGACAGTGATGCTTGGTTCCAGCAACACTCAGTGGCCTTCACCTGCAGAATGAAGGCTTCCATGTAATTAATGCTAAACAGAAACATGTACAGACAGACAGAGATTATCTTTCATTACTGTGGATCCCATTTGGCTCACCTTTTGAGCAAGTAGGAAAAAATGTAATTTTCATATTTTGGTCTTCAATTATTGTTACTGGCAGTCAGAATGTGTTTGATTCATGCAGTGGAGCCCATGATGGTGTTTGGGTGTAAGAAGTTGTATGTGCACACTGTGGTAGTCATGTAATCTGGTGGCCACACTCCAACTAGGTACAGCTGTACTGCTATGCCCTGTGAGTACCAGACTCATGAATGGCTTGTGTTGTGATTGAACATGATTACCTTGAAATTTGAAACAAAATCAGCAATTGATCAACAAATATCAACAGGCAGCAACTTGCCATAAGCCATATGCCATTGTTTTCCCAACCTGTCAGTCTGCGATTGTTATGGGTCCATGCTTCACTGATCTCATTGTGCGGACATCATACACTATAACACTCTGCCCCATGTTGTGTAGCTGTCAAAAAACCCATGCTACACACCACCATGGCTTAGATTCAAGAATTGTTAAAGTGGATGATATTACTATAAACAGATTTATTGTTCACTATCTTCAAATAGGGTACTAACAAGTGGTATCCATGCTGTATTCTGGTACCTGAGGAACCCTCTTGACAGTGGGTAGCCAAACCTGCAGCAACCTGCCCCACCCTGCCATGCCCTGTCCCACCCTTCCAGGCCCTGCCACTCCCTGTCCCACCTTGCCATCACCTGCCACTCCCTGTCCCACCTTGCCATCACCTGCCACACCCTGTTCCACCACACCCTGTCCAACCCTGTCCTACCCTGCCATGACCTGCCACACCTGTCCCACCCTGCCACACTCTGCAACACCCTGCAACACCCTGCAACACCCTGCCACACAGTCCCAACCAGCCACACCCTGTCCTACCCTGCAACACCCTGTCCTACCTTGCCATGCCCTACCCCACCCTGTCCCACCTGCAAACGGTTACCTTGTTTGGGCTGTGCAGAGTTACAGTTGCAACATCAGATGTACAAATAAAGCAGCTGCAAAAACAAGTGATGTGGACAGAACAAACACTGTCCTCCACTCCCATCTATCATTCACCTGACTTCACAAGGGTTGGTATGAAAGTCTTGTGCAAGCAGCATGCATTGGAATGTGTTTCTGCTCCATTTGTTGTTTGGTTTGTTGTTGTCCACTTTCATCCTCAAAGCAGGCAATTAGAGAGCGACTGGCCCATGACCTTCAGTGACAGTCGGTCAGACAGACCACATGCATTTTTCAGTGCTTCTAGTGATGCACTTGCCACCTGATGACACACAGCTTATCAAAACATGAAATATTTGTATAGTGTGTGTGTATGGCATGTGAAACATGTTGTGCATATAACACAATCAGACAAGACCTTGGTGGTATATCCTGACTCATTAGGTAGTTCACTTTACATATATATACGACACAAGGTTGTCTTACTTCATAAATATAACAGTCAGACAAGACCTTGGTGGTATATCCTGACTCATTTAATGGGTAGTTCACTTTACATATATATACAACACAAGGTTGTCTTACTTCATAAATATACGAGATAGACAAGACCTTGGTGGTACAGTGAGACCTCGGATACCCGGACCCCAGATATCCGGAAACCTCGCCTTCCGGTCAATTT